ATATAAAATAGAGGAAGATGGGCACAGATGTTGGTTCAGGGCCACTCTTCCTCAGCAAAAAAAAAAAAAAAAAAAGGAGGATTGGTGGCAGCTGTTAGCTCAGGGCTAATCTTCCTCAAAAAAAAAGAAAAAACCCAACAAAACAGTACTTAACATTTATTTCACGTATTCTAGAAGCCAGTCAATATCATATGCATTTTACATAAGTTACCTCATTCAATCTTCACAAAAATTCCAATTAAATACCACTAACCCCATTTTACAAATGAAGAAAAGAGATTTAAGAGCATAAAGGTGGTGCTCTCAACCATTATGCTTGAACTATTCAATTTAGCAATGTGCCAGCCACCATTATGTCCTGTAGAAAAACAAAAGTAGATTAAAGCATGGATTTTGTGGCACTCATGGGATCACTGGGAAGGCAGACCTTGGATTTGTGAATTGATTATAAACATGATGTAAGATATGTTGTGAAGTTCTAAACTGAATGCAATTGAGTGCTAAAATGAATCGTATAGACCCAGCGGTTCTCAAAATATGGTCCCCATGCGAGCAACATCAGCATCACCTGAGAACTTGTTAGACATGCAGAGTCTCGGACCCCGTCTCAGACCTACTGAATCAGAAACTCAGTCTGGGGTCCACTACTCTGTTTTAATAAACTTTCCCAGTGATTCTGATGCACCCTAAAATGTGGGAGGTACTGGTAGACCACAGGGGTTAAGGATAGGGTATTAGTTTCCCTGTGCTGCCATAGAAAACGGCTGCAAATTGGGGAGCTTCAAACAACAGAAATTTATTTCCTCACAGGTTAGGAGGCCAGAAATCCAAAATCAAGGTGTTGGCAGAGTTGGCTCCTTCTGAAGGTTCTGAGGGAGAAATTGGTCTCATGCGTCTTTCCTAGCTTCTGGTGGTTCCTGGCAATCCTTGGCATTCCGTGACTGGTAGCTGCATAGCTCCAATCTCTGCCTCTCTTTCCACATGGCTGCTTCTCTATGTCTCTCTGTATGTCCCTTCCTTTTCTTTTAGGACACCAGTCACTGGATTTAGGGCCCACTTTACTCCAGTATGACCTTATCTTAACTAAGTTCTTCTTCACAGATCCTATTTCCAAATATGGTTGCATTCTGAGTTTCCAGGCAGACAGGAATTTTCGGGGACGCTATTCAACCCACTGCAGATAGTTAAGATGAAGAGAGTCAGATTAAGTGGAACTCAAGGGAAAAGGTTTAGGAATGATCTGAGTGGATGAAATAAATGACATAATGGGACAGGTGGGGGTCATTGTGGGAGTGAAGGCTAGTGAACAAGCATAGACCTGTTTGACTGGCAAGGACCATGATGTTGGGGCATGGACTAGGTTGAGATGAAAACATATATTGATGTGATTTTATATTAACATAAATAAAAATTAGTAACCTATCCCCTTTATTCTCTAATATAACCAAACTATATTTGTTTAAAACTGCTTGCCAATGAATAGTTTGTAATAAAAATCATTCATGATATTGTTCTAATAATTTCCATGCTACTTTTTAATATTAGAACTGTTGGAATCATTTACTTTGGTCTGTCACTAGCTACATAATGCCCCTGTCTAAGTCAGGATTTGACATGGGAACTGTATCAAATCCTTTCAGTGACTTTCCCATTGACATTCATGGTGTTAAATTACCTCAGCTTCAGCTGAATTCAAGATTTCCCAGCTCTTATAATACTGTCTGAAGTTTTAAAATATCCAGTATCTCTACTATCAAATGTGTCACAAAAAGTTTATTGGAATGCCATAGTTGATTAGGTCAAACTTAATCCTTCAGGCCAGAGGAGAGGAAACAGCTCTGTTGCCAAAACGCCTGGTTCAAATTTTGGCTCTGTCTCTTAAATAATTTTCTGTGCCTCAGCTTATATCTCTGTAAAATGGGGATAATGATAGTGATGTTTACAGCATTCAAGTAAGTTAATGTGCAGTTAGCATGGTTCATGCTATGCACGTGATAGTTCTCATTTTTATGAATAAAATTAATGTCAATGCTCATGATGGGTGAGAATTCAGAAGGTTTTAACAACCGTCCCATGAAATGCAACAGGGACAGTGTAGAGGGGGTCTATACCAAGCGTGTCACCTGACTAAACCACTTCCTTGGGTCCTGTCCTCTGTAGCCTCTCTCCTGTTGTTGGAGTGCCTAATAGGACCCACTATACTGATAGAACCCACTGTGCTTGGCCAGTATCTGGGGTGGACCCTAGTACTGCCGGCCTGCCTGCTCTTCCATTTTTCCTTTGTGAATCCAGAGTATCTTACAGTTGAAGTCCCCAAGAGGCTGCATTTCTCACCAGTAGCTACATGATCTTAACCCCAGGGAGAGCAGGCCAGTGGTGGATGGTCACAGCCCCAGGGGTCTACATGGGTGTCACACATTTGTCTACCAGGATGTCAGTATCAGGTGCCAGTGTCAGGGATGCCCTTTCTTCTATTGAGATCCTCAACTGCTCTGGCAAAGGCCACAGAAGAGGCAGGAGTTTTGGGGGGCTGATGGACAGGAACACTGATGAACCAGAGTTTAAGCTGGCAGAGGCATGGAACAGATCTTAGAGGACTCGTGGTTGTCCCAAGCATTTAACTTCTTTGCTGGTGAATTGTGGGGAGTGTCGAGGGTGAGATCTTGAGGAAAGGGTTGTTTACCTTGCACAGAACTGTTGCAGTATTTTAACAACTGGAGGAGCTATTCCAGTGAGTCCTGGCTGAATCTCAGCCCTGAACATGGAGAAGATGCCGCTATGCCAATAAGGCAAAGCCAGTCTCTAAAGGCCTTGAGTTCTAGCTGGGGGGGGGGGGGGGGGGGGGTGGGGTGGTGCTGGACTTCTTCCAGCAGGCACCAGGGAGTCATCGTTGGCAGCCCACCTCCGACTTTGATTCAAGTGAAACAGAATTCTAAGCCAGGACTTAACTGAAAAAAGATGTAGCCATTTTTGCAAGGAAGGATTTTGCTTCACATTCTTGTTTGTTTGGTGTTTCCTCTGTTTATCTGTTGGCACCACTCTTTTGGAGGTTAGCGTGAGATCTGGAAAGAGGAGAATGGATCACAATGTTTAAGTCTTTGCAGATGCAATTCTTTTCTTGATAGTGACTTGGGATTCAACAAGTCATTAAATATTCCCCAACAAATGCTTTGCAGGTGGCTATTTTTTTTTTTTTTTAAAGAAGAAAGCTAGGGGAAAAACAGTAAGGATGATCTTTAATCTCAATATCTTCCCAGCGCTGGAAAGATAGTCAGTCTTGACGCTACATGTTGTCCCCATTATGGAAAATGCTGGTTCCTCATTTGGACATTGGGTGTCAACATCAGCACAGAAGTTGCTTGATTGACACCAGCTCTCCTTCCTCAGTCCCTGGTCTCTGCCTGTGCCGGTTTCCCTGCAGCAGGCTGCAAAGCTGGACATGGGAAAGATGTTATGAAGAGCTTATTTCCCAGAAGTCCAGGGCAAGCCTAAAGTTTCTATTGGAAGTTGTTTTTACCCCCATGTGCTCCACCAAATAGCAAATGAAATGTTGAAGAGTAGAGGTTGTGCATATATTATAGCAACCAAGAGGCTAGCTTTCTGAATCAGCCTGGGCTTGAATCCTGCTTTTTATGAGAGAAACTAAGAAAAAAGAATAATTCTTAATCTCAGGTAAATAGCTTTTCCAGTTTGGGAGAAATAATAGCTGTCAGTCTTGCTGCTACTAACTGTAGCATCCCATATGACTTGGGACCTTGGGTAAGTCATTTCACCACTGTACTTGTCAGTTCCCCATCTGTAAAATGGGGATAAAATGCTTGTTTTACAGGGCTATTACGGGCATCAAAAAACTTAATGTAATCATCTCTAGCTTAGCAAAAGGCTTTTTTTTTTTTTTCTTGGCTAGAGAGCCTTAGAACAGTTTATACCCATTTTACAACTTAGGAACCACTGTCTATATGAGCACATGCATATGCAATAGTGTATCAGTCAGGCACCAATCAGGAGACAGCAATCATACAGTGATTTGAACAAGGAAAGTTTAATATAAAGAGTTACTAACTGTTGCAGGAGGGTTGGAGTAATGAGGGTTTGGCTAATAAGAGTGAAGAGAGCTGTAAAGAGGACAGGAATATTGGATATAAGGAACAGCAGTACCCCTAGGGCTGAGATAGAGGGTTTGAAGAAGAGCACCCCTCTACCTCTAGGCTGAGACCCAGTCCTTGTTGGAGAGGACAAGGCTGTGACTCAGTGGCAGAGAAGTAGCTGTGCTGGCAGAACTTGGTAGTTATCTACCCTCTGGAACTGCAGGCAACGTACCCTCTCTGGTGTTGGGGCAAGCTGTCACAGAGAGGGGTCTCCCTGGAGGCATTCTGCTATAAAACCTCCCAAGTGCTACTGACTACTGTGTACTACAGGAGGATGGTGTTCAGGAAGCTGCCTGCACCGCAGGAGCTGGGAACTGGGGAAGCTGGTACACTGTGGGAGCTGGACACTAGGAAATCTGTGCATGCCATAGAAGCCAGAGGCTGGAGAAGCAGCTGGCACAGCAGGAGCTGGATATGGGGAAGCCACCTGAACTGCAGAAGCCTGCCCAGCGAGCGTTGGAACCAGGAAGAAAATGCCCTTCCTGCTCAAGTGTCTCTTCAGCGCCCTCTACCGACAAAATGTAACATCATGCCAGTTGGCAAATGAGAAATATTTAAAAGACCCAAATTAATTTTCCCAGAGCAGATAATGAAGGGTGACTTTTGGAGCTGAAAGGCCATAAATTGATGACTGGTATAAATGGTGAAGAAACAAATCCTTAATTCTGAGTATCTGCCATCATGCTCATGTTTTCTGTCCCTCTGGCATGACATCTCTGAGTAATCCACAATAGTAACTAATGCTCAGCATCCCTTACTAAATACTTCCTTTTCCTTTTTGTGCTTAAGCTTACAATTTTAAGTAATATCTTCTCTTTGTAAGGTAACATGTATTAGAGACTATTTGTGTAATCCCTCACGAGAATATGACCCAACAGTAACAAAATATGGTCAGTGCCACAATTAATAAATTGATTAAGCCAGGAAAAGAGAGAATAGTTTTACTGTCCTATTTAATTAGAGAGGACATTCTTCTGGAGCGACCTTGTTCAAGGTACAAATGATAGGGTACTTTTAGCTCACATGTATTTTTACAATCTGATAATAGCCTTTTAACCTAATGCATTCTTTTGGTTTTTGTCTTTGTTTTGCATTGTTTTGAATGAATTAAAGGCATTAAACAAGAAATAGAGGCAAATTACATTTATTCTTTGAACAATGTGGAGCCAGTGAGGATTTTGAGTGGAGCTGTAATATGACTGAAGAAGTTCTGTCTGAAAGTCAGCATGGTACCTGGCTCGTAGGAAGTGCTTACTAAATGATGGCTGCTTGGACTGTTGCGGATGTGGCTCTGTGTCTTCTGAGTGATAAGTGGTCACCCTCTCTGAGAGAGGTCACAAAAGAGCCCATGCAGAAATAATCAGAAGCAAAACCAGCCTAATTTTTTTGCAGCATCAACTAAATACCACTAGATGGAAGAGGGGGAGGGTGCAGTTGGTTGGTCCAGGCTCTGCCTTAAGCCTCTAGAGCTCATTTAGGAGTCGAATTAGACCAGAAGGACCTCGTCTATTGACCCAGGAGTAGGGGTGGGAAGAAAGGGCATGATTAATTTAATGCCTGAAAGTGAGGGAGAGATGGACAAATGCCACACAAGGTCAGTGAGCGGCTGTGAGCATCTTTCCTCTCAAGCGACTTTAACATGCTTCCGAATGAAGTTTTTAAAGGAAGGGACATCGATGTGCAATTATTTTCTACAAGTTTTCATTGAATGTCTCCTGTGTGTGAGGTGCTGTATAAAGTGCACAGGTGGAGATCCTGTAGCTCTTTGGTCAGAATTTGGGGTCTTGAAGGAGTGCCAGGAGACACACAGGCTGACTTGTGTCAAGGTGTATGTGATAAGTGTCATTGCAGTGCAACTGGCATCTGAACCCACCAATCCGTGGAAAAAACCTTCATACCCCTTCACGATCTCTTTGTGCCTAAATCCAAAGGATAATTGCCTGCCCTTTTTTTACTTGTCAACAGTCTCTCCTTGAAATTCTCTTTGCTTGCATGGCATCACCCTCTCTGGGTGTTCCGTCTACATCTCAGGCTTCCTCTCTCCTGTCGTCTTTCTGAAACTTTCCTTTGTACTCTTTAACTATTGGTATTCACTGTGACCCTCATCTCTCCTCATGCTGTACACTTTATCTGGGTTGATTTAATCTATTTACGGTGCCTTGATTACTGTTTACCTATAGATGATGATATCCAAATTGAAAACTTAAGCCCACGTCATTTTCTTCAACTCTAGAACTATTTGTCTAACTATTGGTGAATTGGGCATCATGCCTTGAAAATCTCACAGGCATTTCATATTCATCTCATTCCAAACTGCTTCCACCCCAGTGTCTCTCATCTCAGTGCGTGGTGCTCCTATCTAAATAGTTGTCTAAGCCAGAAACCTGAGCATCATCTTTGACTCTCATCCCTTACCTTCACCTAATCAGTGGCTGATCATCCTGATTTTACCTCCTTAATAACTCTCAAATCCATCTACTTCTTTGTGTCATCATGGAACTGTATTAGTGGAGGCCATCTTCATCTTTGGTCTACTTTACTACAACAGCTCGATTTCTCAATTGATACTTTTTGCAGAAAGGTTTCACCATATGCAAATAGGATTGTGTATGCCTCTACAGTTCTTCAGTAGCTCCCGAATATACTCAGGATCAAGTCCTAGCTCTTTCACGTGGTCCACAAGCCTCTTTATGAGCTGATTTGTTTCCCTTTCCAGAGTTTTCTCTCACCACTCCAGCCCTCTTTGAAGTCTCTGCTCCATCTATGTTGGACCATATGCAGTTCCTTGAATATAGTATTCTCTGTGCTGAGAAGTGGTCCTCTATTTCTCTGCTTATTCATTTGGATAACTCTCCTAAAGGACCCAACTTAGATGTATGTATGTTGTTTCCTCCAGGCAATCTTGGCTCCCACCAAGACTCGATGGGATCATATATGTGGATCCCACAACACCCTTTGCTTACCTCTGTCATATTCCTTACTACCTATTTACTGTCCACCTTACTCTGACTCTCTCTTGGTTATTGCTGTGATCCCAGTGGTTAACATAGTGTCTGGCATGTGGATGCTTCTCAGTAATTATCTGCTTACATGTGGATCAACAATGCCACAAAGAACTCCAGGTGTGCACAGCTGAGAGCTGTAATCAGGCAGGATTTCATGTACTCAGTGGTACATCATTTGGCCCTGAGATTGTGGGGAGTATTGAAATAGCCAGCAATGAGGAGAGAGCATTCAATGTGGCAGAAATGGCTTGAGCAATGGTGCAGAGGCAAGAAAATCCAAGGGGTGACTAGAGCATGCCTATCTAGAGGGGAAGAGAGGGATGCGATTCTGGAAAGATAGGGTTTGGTTGAGAGTTTGAGAACTAGGCTAAGAAGCTCTTTAGGTAATAAGAACCCAATGAAAATGATGGAATATGTTTGTGAAATGGTCAAAGAGGTGAGGTAATAATATTAACCTGGCAGGCAGTGTTCAGGATGGATTGGAGGGAGGAGAGTCTAAAGAGAGAGAGTGAGAAGTAAGAGGCTGTTATGTTGACAGTCTCATGGAGGTGAGTAGGAGGTGGGTAGGATGGTGGCAAAGGGAAGAGAAAAGTGGGGACAGATGTGAGATAAGGAAGCTCAGAGTAGATATCCTACATTTTAAGAGTGTAGAAAGGGGACTTGTGCTCAGAATAAAGTAATGAAGTTGCACTTGAGGCTTGAATCAATGTGAATGGTTTAGAAGAGTTGCAATTGGAACTAAAATTTGGAGTCAAGGTAAAGATGTCCATGTGGTCTGCTGGTGAATAAGGAGGTCCATGCGTTGCCAAGAGCAGTGAGGACCCAGCTGAGCTGGCCCAGCGCATACTAGCGGTAGATCCAGCCAGGCAGGTTTTGTCTCTTTCCTGCAGTGTTCTGCTCAGAGAGCAGGGAAAGCAGCCAAAGTTCAAAGGAAAGGGAGCAGGTCCTTTCTTCATGAGCCTTGTATGCTTGGACAACCTGTAAGGAATGATACTTTTCAGATTTGCTCAATCAAAATATTTTTATACTTGGATAACTATGAAAATTGGGACATTTCATCATTTCCTTTTGTGACCAGCAAGACACCTGTGTGGTAATCAAGATAATGGCTTTGTGATGACAAATAGCAGAGCTACTATTGGAACTGGGGACAACATGGGTTTCACGTCCAACAACGGTACCAAATCTCTTGGTTCCTATAATTGCATTGTTTGACAGTGTCCTATCTAGTCCACGTTTCCCAGATGAGATCTGGGTTCTATATTTGGTGTTCCTTTTGTAGCAGATGACGTTATCCAATGTAACCAGCCGGGAGTGACCTTTTCCCATCCAGAAGATTCTGCCAGCTCCTGGTAGGCGAGCACTGTGGAGCGGTGGGATGGAAAGTGGGTGTGACCATCTTCCCTGAGAGGCCTGCAGAGTCTGTTTCTCTTAGCTGCACCTGTACCCAGAGCTGCCAGGTTATTTATATCTGAGGCTCAGTGTGGAGCAATCCTGCCTATCTTTGTACCTATTCTCCTAGACGTTGGATTGGTCTTGTGTACCATACCCTGCTTGGCGGTGAGAAGGAAGGCAGCCAACTGCTAAGGCTCTATTTCCCTCCCCACTTAGAGAGCTTAAAGCCATCTTAATCATTCTGCACCTGCCTTATAGATCAAATACTCCAAAGGGGCAAATGATTGCCAATTGCTCTCTTTAAATGAAAGAAGAGTAGTTGAGCAGTAGTTTTGTCATTGAAGCCCCATGTCAGTGTCCTATCATGGCTTGTTATCTTGAATCTTGGCTCTAATAATTCTGGAATTAATAGCTTCTTGGGATCATAAATGTTGATCATGGGCTTTCTTAATAACTGTGACCTCCCTCAGGACCAGTCTGGTTTGCAGAATCTTTAAGAAATTTAATTGTTCTCATTATGTCCACTGGTACCAAGGGACTAGGGGATATTTGATCTCTAGTTCATCTCAATGGAATAAGGACTGACCGAGTTTAAGATAGTTTATGTCGTTCTCCAGGTTGCTGTGTCTTTCACACTCCCAACGGGCTTCAGTCCCCTCTGTTCACCATGTCAACACACATCCTATTTTAAGCAGGGGGCAATTATCAGAAGATACAGGAAACACCTTCTATAAATGTAACACTTTGCCTTAATTCAAGGGCATTTGTCCCAGGGACACTCTTTCTTTTGGGTTTTAGAAAAGAGGGTGCACTGGCTTCAGAATGGACTGGACCAAGAGTTTGAAGTGTTATTAGGACAGACTGATCCTTTCTTTTTGTCTCTATTTTTTTTTCCCTGTGATCTCAACTTCTCTGTGTTCATTTCTCTCCTACATATGGTTTTTCACAATGTGGTAAATGAAAGTTCAGGTTCAAATAATTCAAGGTTAGTTACCTTGGAGGAAAGAGAGAAGGCCTTGGTCCCTGTCCTTGATACCACCCTCTGCCCTTCAGTATATAAACATATCAGGGAAGGACTCTCATTGGCCTGCTTGAGTCATATGACTGTGCCTGGGGCCAATCAAGGACCATGTGTCTCACCCCTTTGGCCAGAGAGACAGGTAAAGGGAGAGAGTAAGGGGCATCATAATGGGAAGGAAGCAGCAGCCTTTACTTGGTGGAAAGTGTAGCAATAGAACAATAAAACCCACCTTTGTTGTTTATTTTACTGCTCCCTTACTCTCATTGTTCTCCTAAGGAATAGATTAAAGGTGAAGGATTCTGCCTAATTAAATGACCAGGGAAAGATAGTTTCAAAAGTAGAAATGCTGTCTTAACCTACCTTTCTCTGTCTACCTTTCTCTTCAGTCATCCACGCTGACTTTTAAACAAAATTGAATAAGTTCTCCTTATGAGAAGACAGAGAAATGATTTTTTTCCCATTATATTTGATTGTCATACTCTTCTGTCTTAAGGGAATACTGTAGTGAAACATGTATTGTCTTCAGGGCAAAGGAATCACCCCAGGTTTCTAAATGGGAAGTTGCAGGGTTGTAATCTTGCTGCCATGAACAGCAAGATGGCATTACCTGCTTTGAAACTGTTTCCTGGTTCACTTTTGATGAGGGAAAGTCCACACGGACTTCTCTCTCCTGGTTGTTTGGACTGTAGGTGGTAAAGTGGATTAGGCAGATGAGAGATGAGTAATGTGACAATCTCCAAGCCAGTGGTGGCCTGTGCTATCCTTATAAAGTGATTGAAGGCTGCAGGATTTGAAGGCACTGCCTAAATTCCATTCACAACTCTTGACTTGCGTGTTATTTTTGAGTCACAAATTATTGTCCTCCTGCACCTATAAGAAATACAGAGGTTTAACAATTCTAATGTTTACAAGGCAGTTTAAGATGTCTAGTAGGTATCACAATCAGTAAGATATTACAACTTGCACAAAATATTAGAAATGATTTAATTAGAGTTGGTTATATGTTACTTTAAACGAAACTTTACTTAGATAAAGATCATGGTGATGATTGATGACAATGATGACAATGATGATTTTGATAGTTGCTATGGAAATTATCATCACTTTTACTCTCTACCATCTTTCCAGAGTGATAAGTACCCTAACATGTATGATCCCGGTGGCAGCCGGGAGAATATGCCTCTTAGATCTCTAGATGCAGAAAGTGCGATTGATGGATGGCTCCAGCTGCTGTGCTCTGAAATCCATCAATGTCTTCTTGCCAATAACATGCTTCCCGTGGGCTGCTCCTAGCCAGTGACTGAGAATGGCAGGGGTGTGAAGGAGGCCCATTCCTAGAAGACTGTGGACACTTGATGGCCTTGCCGAACTTTCCTTAGAGCTTCAGTCTAAGACTCTACCACTTAACTTTCCTCCCTTTCCTCTCTTCTTCACTTGAGGTCATACCTGGCATCACAGTCTGATGGCTCCCCCAGATTCTCCTGGGTATGTCCCCATTTTGTTTCACAGGTGTTTCCCCTAACAAATTCATTTCTTACAAATTGTGGTAAAATATATATGACATAAAATTTGCCATTTAAACATTTTTAAGTGCACAGTTTCGTAACATTATATTCACAATGTTGTGCAACCATCATTGCTATCTATTTTCAACCTTTTTCATTACTCCAAACAGAAACTCTTTTCACATTAAGCAATATTCCCCATCTAAATAAATTTCTTACACATGTAATTCTGAGTTGGTATTTACTTCTAAGAAGACCTTGAGTAATAATCTCATTTAATCTTCATAACAGTTTTTCAAAGCAGATATTATCCTCTTATTCCAGATGAGGACATTGAGGCTCAGATGTTAACTAACTTGCACCAAATTGTATAGCTAGTAAACGTTTGAGTTAGGTCTCTAACCCACATCTGTGTGACTCTAAAGGTCATGCACTACCTTTTGATAACAAGTGATTGGTGTCAACATAAGCCTCAGAAAACCAAAGATGATCACCCAACCCAAGGGCCACAATGTGGGGGAGGCAAATGGGGTTGTCTGGGAATATGCTTCTATGACCTGAGAGGTTTTGTCCAGAATTAAGCCTCCAGAAACAATGGTCCTCCTACTCCACGTGGTACCAGTTTACACCGTGCCTTCCTCACAGCTGTGGTTCATGTTCTAGTGGCATGGTGCTAAGTCCTTCACACACATTACTTCATGTAGCCCATATAAGAACCTTAATAAGTACGATTATCTTGCCCATTTTCCAGATCAAGAAACTGAGGTAAAGTGAACAATGTCTGTTTATCAGGAATAAAATGATTTATGGGTATGTTTCTTGGAGCTTGGAAGGGCAAAGTGGAATAGAGATAATTGTTTCCCTATTTTTATCACTATAAATTAAATAGTGATGGCTAGACCAAACTATGGTTAAAAAAATCCAATAGCACATAATGACTTATAGTGAAAAGCAATAATCTCCCATTCCACCCTTAGTCTCAGTCTTCAGAGGTAACTGTCCCACTGTCATACTTCTCAAAGACATCCGTAATATTATCAATAGTGTCCCTCTCCTTCCTCTCACATTATTTGGTGATTACACCTGCATTGTCACAGCTAACTCATTGAGAACTGCCTTGGGGACCTCTGTAAAGACCTCTTTTCTGGCATGGTCACAAGAGACACTGTTGATTTTCATTATTGTGATAATTTTGCTCTATAAAATTGCCGTTAACACAGAATTAGCAAATACTGAACCATTGCTCCTACGGGAAACACAGGGTTAGGTTCCTGTGGGCTTCTAGACACAACGCTCTCATGAATTCATCAATACATAATCTTATGTTATGTATGTTCTTGTTTAAAGATGCCTTATTTAATAATATTGTTGATTTGTTAACATCGTTCATGGCCAAGAGCACTGTAACTGATGCTTTAACAAAACTTACTGAACACACGTTTTCTCAGTAAGGCACAAAGCCTTCTTCTTGTGCTTTGGAACCAGCACTTCAGCACTAGGCTTGGGAGCTATTTTAAACAATGAAATCACAAACAAAAGGCACAAAAATGTGGCACTAAATAGACTGTAAAAAGAACGCTTGTCTCTAGGATGAGAGCTGAGTCAAGAAACGAGAGTGTTTCCTTGTTTGATCTCATGTCAGACTCGTATGAGCCCTGGGCACATTCCTGCTTCTCCTGAGTTTGTCAACACTCAACCTCTTCTCAAAATGCCCTTATTTTTGAAGTATCTTGGGCCACTCTGAGCATGTCTGTGAATGACTGCAAAAGGTCCTTGTACAATATGTCTCACTAAAAATGAATGAAATGCGCAACAGTAGCAAGTTCTCTGGGCGATCCAGGAGATTTTTAGGTTATGGTTATGCTGATGGTTAAGGTCACAGGATCTGGAGTCAGGTAGGACTGGACTCCTGCCTGGTGGTGTGAGTTTGAGCAAGACACTTTTCTGTACCTCAGTGTTCCTCATCTGTAACATGGGGATAATAGTAGGTGCTATCACGTGCATTGGTTTTCAGGACTAAAGATGATAGTGTTTATAAAGGGTTTAGTTTAATGCCTCAAAATGTAGAGCTAGCCCTGATGGTCTAGTGGTTAAAGTTTGGGTTCTCACTGTTTTGGCGGCCTGGGTTCACTGCCTGGTTGGGAAACCATACCGCTTGTCTGTCAGTAGCCACGCTGTGGCAGCATCTCACATAGGAGAACTAGAAGGACTTACAGCTAGATTATACGACTAAGTCCTGGGGCTTTGGGGAGAAAAACAAAAGAGGAAGATTGGCAACAGATGTTAGCTCAGGGTGAATCTTTCCCAGCCAAAAAAAAAAAAAAAAATCACATTATTTAAAAAAAAAAGTATTAAGTGCTCAATAAATGTCAGTTATTGAATTTATTATTTCATTGGATTCATCAAATACATGGACATAGGGAACCATTGATTCACAGGAGAGCCTACCATAAGATTCAGGGCCTAAAGAATAACTCAAAGAGGAAAGAGATTATATAGGCTGAGACATTTGGGAAAATCTTCTTGGAGGAAGCACTTGATACGGTTTTGAGGGATAGCTGAAATTTTCCTGGAGTGGAGAGGAGTCCAGGGGATGCTAACGGTATGAGTAGAGGCATGAGGGCAAGCTCGTACCTGGCACTTTTGGGAGACGTGCAAGAGGATGGCTTGCCCATTATTTAGGACAGTGAGGGGCACATGCCAGGCAAGTGGGTTTGGAACACTCTTAGGCAGAGATTTAAAGGCCATTCTTTGGGTGGAGGCCTGAGACCTGCTCCTGAGGAAATGAGAAGCAGGTGAGCTGCTTGAAGCACCACTAGGAAAGCTCACAAGTCGTTTCCTTTGACCCAAAAGTACAGTGTGATTTTCATCTCTTCAGAACTGGAGGAGGGTTTTCTCTTCTCAAAATGCCCTTATTTTTGAAGTTTCTGTCTGGATAAGGAGTGACCAGCATGTTTCAAAGGCGTGATTCAGCTATCTTAAGGATGTTTTTCTTCCCTCCCTAGAAACACTGTGGTTTCACTTTGCAGGCTTAGAAGTAGGTACAGAAATACTTAGGCTCATGATAAGAATCATATATTCAAGGCCAACCAGTTGCTGTTTGCTGTGAAGACACTCTGATGCTTAAGGCTGTGTTTGAGCCCTGGGCATATTCCTGCTTCTCCTGAGTTTGTCAACACTCAACCTCTGGTTCCTGGGATTCACATACCTGTCACTCAAAGTATTGGATATGCATTCATCAGCCCCCTTTATAAAACTCTTCAATGGTGGCTGCTTGCAGTACACTGAGGGATGGGATCATTGAAATGGGAGCATCTATCAATGTTGCCGGAATGAACTTCTCCTATTCCTTTGTGTACTTTATGTGTGGATCCTTTCTTGTGGTCCTGATGCTACCCATCAAGTCTCTGACAGCGTCATCAGTCACTGCAAAAGGCCAGTGTGCACACAGCTTTTGCCCTTTTCTTTTTTTCAGAGGTTTGTTTGTTTCTTTCGGGTCAGTAAGAGGGAGTACAAGTCTGAGGAGTGAATGCCTCCTACACATCGCTTATATCCATTTCTCCCAGGACTGCAGAATCGTAAACCTTAGGAGGAAGTGAAGAGATCTTTAGTCTCTCTCTCTGCCTCCACTAGGATTAGCTAGAGGGATCCCATGAAACGATGCTAGGCTGAGCAACTGCTCACCACCACACCAGGCGCTCTGCTCCCTGCACGGGTGTGGAGGAGCACAAGACGTGAATTATAAACTGAGCCCTCACTCACAGAAGAGTGGTGGAAAATTGTTAACTATCTAAATAAATAGTCACAGTAGTGGACGGTAAGTGCTTTAATAGAATGGAGTATGGTGGAGGTGACACTCCAATCCCCAGTCCATCCACGTATTAAATTATTTTCTTTTGTGCCGTTGTGGTGTTACAAAACATTTTTCCTTTTCATTAGCACATATTTTCACTCATAATGATTACAGCATATTTTTGCATTAACTAAAAACTTTCTAACTTGTCAGCTAATTTACCTGGGTTTTTGTTTTGTTTTACTTTTTTGGCTAATTTTCCCCCCGGCTTTATTGAGGTATATAATTGACAAATAAAAACTGTATACACTTAAGGTGTACAACATATTTTGACATAGTACATACACATTGTGAAAATTCTTTTTTGTAAATTTAGCTGAGTGTGCCTCCATTTTTCATATTCTAACAATCATAAGTTAGAACGTAGGTGATTCTAGAATTTTCCTCGCTAGCAATTCTGTGAATTTGGACAGAATTTTATCTCCTGCCACCTCAGGTTACTTTTCTTCATGGTGGCTCAGTATAGGCAACTTGACAAATATTATCCCCGCTTCTTGGAGGGGAAAAGCAAAGTACAGATTGGTCACTCTCTAGCCCTCTGGTCTGCATACAGGGTGAGGGCGAGGGTAGGTGAGGATTTGTATGCATCTCTCATATGCATCTCACAGGAGGGAGCAGTCATAACAAGCCAAACTTGGAGATGAGAACAACCTGGCTTGGAATTTCTCTTCTGACTCCTACTACCTCTAAGGCATATGGATGATTGTTCAACTCTTCTAAGTTTCCATTTTCTCGTGTATAAAATAGAATAATGATACCTCCTTTGTACATCTCAATTAAAAGTAGTTCTCGGTCTTCTTGGGAAACAGGTCTGATTCCCGGTTCTGCATCTCATCCTCTAGACCTTGCTGCCTCCCGTTCTGTTCTCGTGGTTGTCACTGTGACATGGAGGATGCTTTTATGACTGCAGGGAAAGGAGATGGAGGAGTTTTGGTTTTGGGTTGCAATTTTGCGACAGGTGGTAGAACCTGGCAATTAGGAGAATGATCCCTGGAGTTCAGCTGGTCTATTTTTCTTGTGGTATGACGTTGGCCAAGTCACAACACCCATAAGCCTCTGTTTATTTGGTAGGGGCATAGTGCTTATCTCACAGAGTTTTGTAAGGATTAAATGAGATGAAGACTAAAGTGCTGGGTACCTCCCTAGGCACGTTCTGTGTGCTGGGGAAAGGTAGCCGTGGTTAGTGTTTCTGCCTATATCATCTTTTCTTAACCTCTATTTACCTTTCCTTGACTGCCATGGGAAGACAATACTAATTTCCTTTCAGGCTTATGTAAAACAGGGAGCAAGCGTGGGGCCTATTCTCACGGGTAGCAATAAGAAGATGTCCAGCAGAGTTTCAAATTCAGACATGCTGGGGCTGTCCTGTCGTGTATCCTGCCTGTTCCTCCCCAGAGGGCCTGTTACTGCCTCCTCTGCACCTTCTCCGGCCCTGGACCCAGTAAGGCCCTCCCTCCAGGGGAGGAACATTTTGTACAAAAAGAACACAACAGCAACTTCTTCTGTCCTGTGGCATTTTCACCCACTGCCAGGTGCTACCTGGCATGTGGCTTTGATTGACAAGATTACTAATCCATTGTAATCATATTTTCATAATTAGTCCCTGTGAGGCCTGGCTGGCTGCTCTTGCCCAGGTAAACTCCTGCCTGCTGCGGAATGTTCTCACCAACTGTCACCTCCCCAGGAGGGAGCTGTCGGTCTAGCACCCACAGCTGTTGCTAAAATTGCTTTTGTATTCTCCCCCATTTTCCCGTTTTGGTGCTTGGCTGCTAGGAATCCTTGCTTGATTAAAAGTTACAATTATTGACTCCAGACCCGAACAGATACCAAAAATGGCTTTAGTTTTTCCACCTTCCTGATCACACACTGCCCATTCCTCTTCTGCGGTTCCTTCCCTTACAGCCTCCCTGCACGCCTCCCCCAAAATCCCTGCGGCAAGGGCGAGGGGGAACTTCAAAGGCATTTCTGAATAAAAGAACACACGGCGGGACATCAATTATTTACCAGGCAAAGTTTTGGCAGGCACAGGAGCCTTTCCCTGTTTGTCTTGCTGAAGACGGCAAGAAGAGCGTTTTTGAAGGTTGCGCTTGGTCCCGTCACACCGACCGGTTTGGCCACTAACGGTTGGTGAACCCTGGACCCTTCCCCTGCACTCTGACCCTGCCCTGATTCAGCAAATGGTAACCAGGGTGACTGTTGCTCAGTGAGCCCTTGCTGCAGGCCAGGTACCATACTAGGGCTTTTATTCTTCATCTTGTTCATCCTTGCAGCACCTTAGGAAGTAAATACTGGCTTGTTCTCTCCCTGTCACAGATAGATGAGGAGCCAAGGTGCAGACAAGTTAGGTGACTTGTCCAGGGCCCCTCAGCTAGAAGGCAGCACATTTGGGACTTGAGCTGGGTGTGCTATCTCCAGGGCTGGTGGTCGTAACCATGCTCCGCTCTGTATTAAGTGTGAGCTAGAGGTACCAGGGACCAGCATGACCTGGAGGAGGTGGCAGTCTTAGAGGAAAGGGGAATGAGAAGGCTTCATGGAGGTGGCCTTGGGGACAGGGCAGGTTCTTAGTCCCTTTTTGGTAACTGGAGAAATGCAGATGTGTTTCCTCGAGCCCTGGGCAGGGCCAGAGGAGGAAACTGCCGTGGGACTAGCACAACGACTCGTGGTTTCCGTCACTGGGCTCAGGTAACATCAAGTCTGCCGTTGGGCTTGTGTCCCCAGACTCAGCCTGTGGCTCTCATGAAGTCATCTCCATAGTGAAAACCAGAGTGTCACCGGCTCCTGCTCTCATCCGCAAAACCCACTCAACTATTTCTTGGAGTCTGCCGGTGTTGATCCTGGCAAACCAAGTCATCTTTACTCAGGGGATGGGAAGAAATTAGGGGGTTCTGTTTATTTGCTAACATTTATGGAGTGCTTGCTGAATGCCTGACACTCTGGTACGGGTTTTACATACATGATCTCATTTAATCCTCCTTTCATCCATTCTGGTAGGCACGCATTGTTATGCCCATTTTCTAGTGAAGAAACTGAGGCTTGGCAAAGTGAGGAAACTTGGCCAATTAGATGGTAAGTGGTGGAGCCAGAATTTGAACATGGATAGAAGATCATACTCTTAAGCACCATTTTGTTATAATAAATTGTGTATATGTGCATGTGACAGAGAAAGCACAAGTGTGTACTGGCTTCGTTGATTGATTAAGAGATCTCATCACCAATGGAAGTATTGAATATTTGACTCTTCCTTTCTCAGTGAAGCTCTCTGTCCTCTTTATGCCTAAAGCTTGCCTTATTAATATAACAGTGGCTTCTAAGAGTTAATACCTTTGAAGTCCTGGGTGAACACTGCCAGTTGAAGTTTGCATCCATTTGGGTTTCCAACAAATGCGAATTGGTACACTAACCTCAGGAGGGCTTATCTTCATCTGGTTAAGCACTCAGGGGTTGAAAGTATATTAAGAAGAAAATTGTACTGTGGATCGAAGGAAAATTCTTGGTTCCTCGCAGTGACCAATGTTCTCCCCGGAAGATGTCCTAACTACATCCTACCAGTCTGCCTATGCAAAACCATATGCAATGGTGAATTTGCTTTGTCCAAAAAAAAGAAGGGGAAAAACAAACTGTTGTCTTCTCAGTACGGACTGCAGAGCTCAGGGCATAGGAGTTGTTGAGAAAACATGGATGTTAGTATCACCTGAATTTCCTAGTAAGGTGGGGAGTCCAGCAGGAAGTACTTCGGAAATTAGGGTGGACAGGTGGAGCCAGGTTCTTAGCCCTGGTTTGGTTTTGAATACAGCATCTACTTGGGACCATGTTCAGAGTACATAGTCAAACAGAACTATTCCCTTATGGTCTTAAATGATCTCATAATTTGACAGTGGAAATTTAGATAGCCTTCCCAAGCACCTAAAATGTCACATTAACTTGAATTGTTTGCATCTATAAGCTTCTTCATCTGTGGTACAAGGGGAGCCAGTTAATGGTAATTATCTACCTTTTGTTTCCTCCTGTCACCCTCCTAACTTGCATAATTTGCCCTGAAGTATTTATGGGTGTACGAAGAAGTGCCTGACATGCCTGTAAATAATTCCCTCATGCTTTTGGTCTTGTCTTCACATTCCTCAGTGATGTCCATCTTTTACCATTATCACTGGTGACCTTGGTAAGAATTAAGCAAGTTCAAACAAGCTCATCATGAGTCTATTATGTTTGAGACAATGTACTAACATCCAGAGTCCCTAGTCTTGTGGCCATTCCACTGAGAGGAGGCACAAACAGATGGATCCCTGAAGAAGAGGCTTTCAATTGAGATGCCGAGAGGTGCAAATCCTCACCATACATTAATAGGACTGTGTTCCCTGCCCAAAAGGTCCTGCTGCCTTGCTAAGCTGCATAGTGTTGCCTGACCACTAAATCAACTACATGCACCTCTTAAAGCCAGTCTTCCACCTTCTGCCTGCTCCGTATTGCTCAAACACAAATCCATGTTCCAACCCTTGTTAGGTGTGAGGTGGGTGGGGGTCAAGGGCATCAAACTCCCCTATTACCCTGAGTTTTTTCGTCTAGGTTCCCTAACACATAATTTTTAAATGCCACCCCAAACTCTTACAGACATGCCTAGAAGTTGTATTTATATATGTATATATGTATATACACACGTGTGTGCATGTATAAAACACATACATATGCACCTATGTATACATATGCATAAATACTGTACTCTCTCTCTCATTCTTTTAAGATGCTTTTGGGGGACTTTCTGTGAAAAGAGACTCTGGAAGATTAACTCTGCAAGTTGGGGCTCCAGATCATTTGTGGCTGTACCTCAGAAGTGCTCCTGGGCTCCAGAGAGCCGGAGGAAGGAGCTCCTTCGGTACCATGATTCCTGCAGTAGTAATGAGCTGTGTATGGAGACTCCATCACGGAAGCACTATGAGTAAAACATGCACTTCCAATAGAGGTTGTGGGGTTTCTCACAGAGGCGTGTCCCACATTTTGTCCAGAATGCTCTTCCCCCAGAACTTTGCACAACTGGATCCTTCTAATTACTTCTTAGCTCAGATATCACCTTTTAGTGAGGCTTTCCTTTACCCTCCAACTAAAGCCATGCCCTCATCCAGTCTGCAATCTCTATCATTTTACTCTGTATCATTTTTAGTGACCCTTATCATTGTCCGAAAGGACCTCATTTTATTCGTTCACTGATGCATCTTTCTGGGCATATTCCCCACCCTGTACCACATACTAGAAAGAAAGCTCTGAGGAGTCATTGCCAGTTTTGTTTCCACCACCAGAAACAATACCATACCTAGCACGTAGTAAGGGCTTAATAAATATTTGTTGAGTGAATGAATGAATGATCCCCTCCCCTACTTATGTTTGCCAGGTGACTGGAGGGTATTAGGTATGCAGCATCTGTTGTCTTAGACCAATCTCAACCCTCTTTGGGAGAAAATAACTGCCTCTTTTAGGACGGCACCTACATTGTCGTTATATTCTGCACCATGGAGCTAGGCCATTCAGCCTGAAATATTAATGGCCTGGGGAACTGGCCATCCCTGTTTCGTAGCTGCTTTGGCTGCACTGACTCTTGAGTTTGGAAATGATTGCCATTTTCACTCCTCATCTGCTCCTTTGCGGGGAGGAGCCCTGCTATTGACGGAAATGTCTTGGTAGTTCTTTGACTGCTTTCCAGGAGGCAGGGGCTGAATTCCTGGAGAGCAGAAACTTATGGAAGGTGGCTGTGAAATTAGGGGTGATTCTGCCCCCAGCTGGAGCCTCAGCATCCCGGTGCACATGACAGGCAAACTAGTGATGGGGGCAGCAGGACACAGACTGTGGGACCCGGAAATGTGTCCTTCCAGAATCGAAGGCTGTCGTTTCTCGGTGTTTGAGAAACGTCAAGAATGTTTGAGAAACATCAAGAAATTTCGGTTTTTTCCTTTCCTTTTCTTTTTCCTCTGCTCTCTGATCATGTTCATGGTCCAGATGCTTAGCCACACTGCCTTACAGAAGGTTGGGAAGTCACATTACAAACTAGAACTTGACGTATTCTGCACTGGTGTGAAAATCAGATGAAATCCCTGGGTTTAGGTTAAGTTCTCTTAAGTAAGTTTATAGAGCAGAAATAATTCCTGAGTACCTTATAACTTAATAGCTATTCCATATTCATTATAGAATTGAATTCTTAAAAAAAACCTGTGAAGTGCAGAGTGATTTGTTTTCTTTTTATCTCCATCTTAAGGATGAGAACACTGAGATTCAGACAGGATGAATTTTCCAATGGCAGGCAGCTAGAAAGAGGCAGGACTGGAACTGAAATGCTGGTTACAAGATTCCATGGCCAATATTCTTTTTATTATGCCCCAGTTGCCTTCTAGAACTCAAATTGGAATTTACTGTTTTAGATGTTAGCCCATTAGGAAAGTGTAATTTTTGTGGTTTAATTTTATAAGACATTTTAAAGGCACAAGCAAATAGCAAGAAAAGCAATGTTTAGGGAGCTCTCTAAAGGGGCCATGCAGCAACATGCGTATTCATGAACATGTATGTGAGTGTGCACGTGAGTGTGCATGGTGGAGGGAAGTGTGGCAGGGGGATTGTTTCTGGGTAGATGCAGAGGGTCAATTGTGGAGAGAAAGGTTCAGATTTAGGAAAATGTAGTAAAAGTTTTCTTGGTACTGGAATTCTCCACAGTCCTCAGGCTTGGACATCTTTGCCATTTCCTTCCTAAAGTGTTTCATCTTGTCTACTGCTAATTTTATAATGGAATTATATGTGTGATAACTACCTTTGGGGACTGAACAGGTCTCCAGTTCCATTTATATTAGCAAAAGTATCTCAACTCTAGGAAACTATTCCATTAACTCCAAGAAAAACTCATTGTAGATTATATCTTGGTGGCTAGTGCTTTGTGTGTGTGTGTGTGTGTGTGTGAAAATGTGGAGTGCTCACTATGTGTAAGGCATTGTGCTAGGTGCTTGTAGATGCAAATATAAGTTAGGCATAGTACCAGCCTTCAAAGAGATTGCATTCTAGTAGAGGCATTAATATAAGGAGATAAATAATCGTAATGCATGATAGGGTGAGTTGTTTCATAGGAGATTTGCAAGGACCACCTGGGGTTCAAGAGATATTAGCATCAGATCTGACGGAATGGGGTGGTTTTGAAATGGCCCAGAGGG